AAAAAATGAGATGGGCATCGCTGCCTACGCCGACGGCCAGAGGCCCGCGCATCTACATTTTTTCGCCTGACCCCATCAGTGCCGACCCAACTACACCACCACGCGCATGCCTCGCGGCGGATATGCGCAGCAGCAAGAAGGTTTCGGTCATCCCTTGAGGGTGAGTCTAGCCCTGCTCGCCAGAAAGACCCCCCCCTTCACTACAACCCATGTCTAAGCAAAAGCTTGTCGAGGAGCGAGGGGAAGAAGGGAGAGTAGAACAAAAAAAAAAAAAATTGTATCAAAGGTCTCACAGCAAGGTGTATGTGTACATAGTCCACAACATGTACCATATGCATACAGCAGCAGTAGGACACACGCACGGTGAGCAGCGGAATCAGCGTCGTCATGAATCCTAGACGACCACCCAGAGGGCGATATCGTCGTGGAACATCGGCTTACATCAGGAGCACTCGTCAAGAGAGGACTCGGGAAAATAACCGGGTTCGGGAAATGCAGAGGAGGTGCGGTATCTTAGACGATTTACCAGACGACGTCCTCATTGTCGTGTAATACTGAGTACATACTACTTACAGTACTACCACATGTAATCTGATGAGAAGCTGCACGAACAGGATCGCGTCGCAGGCGAGGTCGCTGCTGTTCTTTCCGCTCTAGTCTACATTGTACACCACGGAGGTTCCATCATGCATGACCACCACTACTAACTTATATTTTATTATACTTTTTTTTTCTGTCCTATGCGCCAGCTGTTGATGTTTAGCAGATTGTATAAAATTATCCACTGGTGCGCAGTAGCATACTATATTATTTCTCCTTAATACTTACAGAAGATTCGTAGACAATCATCAGCAATTATTGCAACAATGAAGAATGGACGTTTGGTTATCGATGACGATTACGTCCACGGTGGTTCTAGCAGTGATGAAGTGGAGAGGATTGTGTTCAACAGGGAGATCCCGACTGCGGCGATTGAGACAACAGAAGGCCAAGAAACGTGCAGAGATAGCGTAAATTTGATGACTCCTCTTCGCGCGGAAACTCTCCTGCAAGGGCTGCAGGACTTTCGTGACCACATGTTCGCGGGTAGCACGCGGTGAGTGTCAGTAAAGTAGTAAGACTGAACTACTGAGGCAATATAATGACTTGTCGGCCTCGACTAGGGTGGTCGGTTAGAACGTGACATAGTCTAATCCCCAAGTTTAGATCGAGCTCAATACTTACTGCTGTACATCACACTTATTTTGCTCACAGGTCTCCCTGTGCCGTGTGCGATAGGCTGACTTTGGTACGACGTCATCATCATGTGATTTCAGCAAGCGAGATTCCTAACAAACAGCTGTTATGGGCGGATGAAGGGCATGAGAGGGTGATGGCAACTTTTCGTGGTTATGCAGGCGACACGAAGCGAGAGTTAGATACCCTTGTCCTAAGTAAGTTCGGAATCGAGTCAGAGGAACCGTACAAGATACATGTATGCGACGAGTGTTACCGGTCGTTGGCGAGGAACATTTTACCTGATGCTGCTTTGGCGAACGGGTTTTGGGTCGGTACCTTACCCGATGAGCTGCAGAAGGCAACGTTCGTCGAGCGAGCCGCTGCGTATCCAATTCGCACAAAGGGTCACGTTGTAGCATTGGAATCCAGGCGTGTTAACAACATTCCTGGAACGGCAAAGAGGTCAATGCGAGGAACATCTGTGTTTTACGCAAACAACTCGAGCTCCGTCGCGACGGAGTTACCTTTGGCGGCGACTGGTCTGCTGGATATGATCACGGTGGTGCTAGCGGGGAAAAAGAAACCGANGGGAATCCAGGCGTGCGTGTTAACAACATTCCTGGAACGGCAAAGAGGTCAATGCGAGGAACATCTGTGTTTTACGCAAACAACTCGAGCTCCGTCGCGACGGAGTTACCTTTGGCGGCGACTGGTCTGCTGGATATGATCACGGTGGTGCTAGCGGGGAAAAAGAAACCGAAAACTTCGGATCTTGGTCGTCTATTGGGCGCTCGTAAATCAATGATCAGGGACATAATCGACTACATGCTCGANTACCTTTGGCGGCGACTGGTCTGCTGGATATGATCACGGTGGTGCTAGCGGGGAAAAAGAAACCGAAAACTCGGATCTTGGTCGTCTATTGGGCGCTCGTAAATCAATGATCAGGGACATAACCGACTGCATGCTCGACAAAGAAGAGAAACTTGTCGTCGGGTTTCCTCTGGCGAAATCTCTTCTTATCAGTGAAGAGAATCTCGATTCGTATAGCGAGAATGGCGCTATCCCAAAGGTGCTGTTGGATTCAATTCTGACATCGAACGATCCATTGAATGTGCACGCAAGGGTGTCTTCTACCTACANAATATTAGACGCCTTCTGTCCATAACTGTTGGTTAGGATGTACTGCCCGCCATGTGAAACACAGTTGTCCCCGTTTCCTATTTTTTTGCGTGCAGTCCACTATTCTTCAGCTAGCTAACCTACATAATCCATTGCTGCTGCTGTATTGGCATTTGTATCGCTGTTGTTGTTGCACGCACCGCCCACTACCTATATTCTATCCCAGATAACCTTTGTCATCTTACGTTCTTCGTCTTCATCCACTGATCGTTCTGGACCCCGCCAGCACTCTCAACCGTCTTCGGACAGCTTTACCACGACCTTGGTATCCTTCATCTATCTGTACATACCTGAAACCACAAAGATATTCACCACACCCCATGCCGTGATCCATCGCCTTCGCGTTGTGCATCCAATCACCTCTTTGCTATATATTTTCAACCAATCGCATATAGACTATGTGTATACGGTTTCTTCATTGAAATAGCAACCGATTCGACTTTGTAGTCCACACTGCCTAGACTGACCTTGGTCCCCCCTACATATGCCTACCTGCCTTCCACTTCCGTCTGCTTATCCTCTCCTTCCACTCGTCGTTGCTGCATATCCCTCTACCGATCATCAATGTCGGCCCAAGATGAACTCCGCACGCTCCTTGCCGCTGAAGACAATTCGAACGAACCAGACGACCGCGTCGATACGACGTACACAGGTGAATTCTCTTTCTTTGCGTCTCTACTACATACATACTGTGTTGTTCTTGTCTCAGCTCAGTATAGTCTGATGTCTTCATGTCGTTGTTGTGGTCAGTACCGTCTGATGTCTTCTCGTCGTTGTTGTTGTTGAGCTGTCGTTGCTGTTGTTGTTGTAGAGGTTCGTCCTTCGCTCAGTAGTCCTCTAACGCCGCCCGTCCTCGATTCTGTGCGTATCCGACCAACCTCTTCACTTTCCGCTACTTGTTTGTACTATGGAGTGTAAAAGCGTGTGTATATCTGCATTCATTCGTAGTTGATCACGCGAACGCCGCCCATCGTCGTTTGTGTGCATATACCACCAACCTCTTCTCTCTTTGCATACTTATACTATGGAATTTATGTACACTGTCGTAGTTGACAACAACATCTATCTGCCCGTCGATTCGATGTAGCTCTACTCCGGTCGTTTCGTTCCAAAATCAAAGTCGAATGTGACATTCTCATACTCAACTACGCCAGAACTACATGTATTCTAGGACCTATACTTGTATATATATACGAATGGATCGCTGTTGCAACATACATACGTAATCTGGTCATAAAAATGCGCTGTGCACAGGTTCCACGCGCAAAAAGTACGTCACCACCAGTGGATCATCAGTTGTTAACATACAACTTCAATCTTGTGTTTGCTGTGTGCTGAATAGAATTATTGAATGTACCGACATGTTATGTCTTGACGATGCCTGCAATTTCCCTTCTTGTCATGAACTCTGCGCCACAACCTATTTTTCAGACGACATGGCGGACACCTTCAAGTGCTTGTCATGTTTGCGGACAGTGGACTATGACGGAGGGGGATCTCCAAGTTTGTCGCGTTATTCGTACAAATGCCCGCACGAAAGTTGCGGCGAATGGATACATCGCATCGATCAGCGTGATGTTTCCAACGCCAAATGCTTTTTGTGCGATTCAGTGTTCGTCGAGGACTCTATTGTCGCGAAGTTTCTAGTCGAACCTTCCAAAAATTTCAAACGTGAGAAGTATCGCTACGCCCACTTGGATCCGACGCTTTGCTGCGATTATTACGTCCCGTCTAAAAACACGGGATGCAAAATATGCAACGTGAAATCCAAGTCGGAGCATGTTGACACGTCGAGCGGGTCTCGTGACCCCGATAAGCAAGTATGTCGCCCTTGCTTCACCAAGAGGCGAACCGTTTTCATGGAATCGGTTCGCAGCCAGATGCACGCCAAGCTTTCGTCGTCGTCGTCGACTCCCTCTGTACAACGCTACAAGTCGACCTCCGCCAATGGATCGACATCAACCTCGGACGAGCCTCCCGCCAAGAAATCTCGTCGCTAAACCTGAACGTAAGCTCCATCTGACTGACTGATCTGTTTTCATGTAGTACATCCCTGTGAACTCGTCCGTATTTAATGTCCATCAATGGATGGATCACGTTTTTTCTCTAATTTCTCGTTTCAATATATATTGTCTGCACTTTCCCGGATATCATAATTATTTGTCTTGCAGTTTACGTGCCCAGATTATATTTGGTTCTGGTTTTCTGATACAATGGTTGGGAATGCATGGCACACCCGACCAATTTGCCTGAAATTTCCCTGCGTGCAGGCTAGATAACCTGGAAAATATGTAACAGGAAAAAAAAACCATGGACCCCACCCCACTACCTTTCGCAGTTTTGCAGGCAACACGAAGCAGCGTTTAGTAGTTATGCAGCCGACACAAAGCGAGGGTTGAACTGCAGTTAGTTGTGTGTTAACAACTGATTATGCACTGGTAGCGGTTGCCCGTGAAACCTGTGTCCTACCGACGTCGTTGTTTCGAATCCGCCTGTTTTCCCTTGTGTTGTTTCTGCTGTGGCTCCACCCTTTTCACGCCGAACAGCAGAATTTCAGTCTGTCCGGTGCATTTGCGTGCTTCGACGTTGCATTCGCTGGTGTTCCTGACACCTAACTATACTTTTGCCCTACCTCATTCGCCACTTTGCCTCCTCCGTCCCCTTCCCTCCATGTCCCCTCTCCGTTCGTGAAAAAACGAAAAAACTAACCAACCGCAACAAACACCAACAATTTTTTTCCTTCCATCGGGTGCGTCTGGTGACACGATGGCACTTGGTGCTCTCCTTCCTCCCTTCACACCATCTTCATCGACGCTTGCTTCACGCCATCTTCGTTCAAGACATCATCATCGATCATCGACCATTATGATTCTTTTTTTTTCCTCTTCTGCTGCTGATGCTGCTGTATGTTGTTGTTGTTGTTGTCTTCACATTAAAAACCATCCCGGTCTCTCTATCCAGTACCTCCTTCTGTCTCAATCTCTCCGTACTAATCCATCACTTGACTCGGCCAATTTCCGTGGTCACAGGCTAACGTACCTAGAAAAGGTATACCAAAATAAAATGGACCCCAAGGGTCAGCAGAGCGATAAAATACAAGAAAACAAAAGAATCAGAAACAAATAAAATACAATATAGTGTGTGTTGTTGCTTCTTACTTCAGATAGTAGTAGTTTTTTTTTTTTTGTAACGGCACTACTTATTTGTAGGTCTACGGTTTCATCACACGAGTTTTTAGAATAATGAGCTTTTTTATGCACAACGCCTGACTTTCGCCCTGTGCTTTCTTGCGACAGACGACATATTGATTGTTGGAAAAGAAAGAGCATGATACTGTTAAGGAGTGTTGCTGTACGGCACAGATAGATAGGGTACACTGTCGGTCTAGATTACGATGGTTGACGTCAGTTGTTATACATGGTTACGGTAGGCCCGTCGCGGCAGCCTCAGACCTGTAGCAGACCCGCTTCTGCTGAAAGAAAGGACGAATCGAGGGTGCTAAAAGGAATGACCATATTCTTCGACGACGATGCGAAGCGTTCGCTATCCCAATTCATACCACCATCACCCCTTGCCACATACATACATGCATATTGTACATACAGGCATTATTCGACGATACATTGTTGTTGTTGTTGTTGTTGTTGTCTTCACATTAAAAACCGTTCCGATCTCTCTCTACCCAGTACCTTTTTATGTCCGTACTGATCCAATACTCGACGCGGTCGATTCCCGTGGTCGCAGGTTAACTTACCCTTAAAAGGTACACTCAAATAAACTGGCCCCGAGGGGTCCGCAAGTCAATAGAAATCAACGACAGATATTCTGGAGTCCTCCAATCCCTCTGCGCGCTATGCGATGTAACAACTGAGACTAGGAGGCACCATCACGGGCCGGAGAGAAAGAGATACACACCCTTGGTTCAATCTTGGTGCTTCACGACGCAAGCAGAGACAAGGCCGTCTGGCACAGAAAAAGAGAGGAAAAAAAGAAGAGAAAGAGAAAAAAATAAAATAAAAGGAAACAGTGAGGAAAGAGAAAAAAAAATGAAACGGAGCGAGGCCAAAAAGGGACCAGGCCGAAGTAGTAACAAGGAAAAAGAGACAGAAAAAAGGCACACGGTGGAGAGACCACTCACGAACACAAGCAAACACGCAAACATGGCCATTAACCAGCGATAAATTGTAGTAATAGTACGTCATCGCTAGCGGGGGTCGGTGCAATAGTGCAGCGTTGGGGGGGGGGATTAGGCTAAAAGAAATTCGATCCGGCACGTGTCGCGCCACTCGGTCCGTCTCTTCTCGTTTACTTTCTTCCCTCGCCGTCTCGTCCGTCTCCTACCCCCCTCCCGCCCCATTGGTTGTTGGCTTGTGGTTTCGTTTGAGCGCCCGTTGTCGGCTGGCCTCTTTTCCTTCTCGTGCCAGGAGGTCATGAACCTCTCAGCTCCCTGTAGCACCGCCGCGTGCCAGGGTACCCCCTCCACCTTCGCGGCTTCCGTCCACTTTAACTTCGGTGCCGTGTCTTTCGGTACCGGGATTCCGAGGCAACATGGATCGGTTTTCGTAGATCCGTGGTCGGCCCCGAATGCCTTCAGGTCGTCGAGCACACACTTCGGCCAGATCTGTTCCTGTCCCCCCCTACTTGGCTTCTCTCCCCCCGCCAATTCGCCGAGCATCAGTCGTTTCGGGAGTCGCCCGTCCGGCTGCCTTGCCAATGCTCCCGCGAACAGTAGGCGTCGTTGTCGGATCGTGGCTTCAACGCTCTGGCATTCGACCTTCTTCAGCGTCTGGGCGTAAGAGAGCTGCCGGTAGGTGTCTTTCTTGCGCTTGTACCCGATAACTCGAAGGAGCAGTAGGTGGTGTATCGACCGCAGCGTCTGATAGTGGCCGCTGAGTGGTGACCATGTCATGCAGCCGTACAGCAGTGCCTCCATCGCCTCCGCCTGGAGCAGGCGGATCTTGAGTCGGAATGGCGCTTTCGGTCTGT